TGACGCGGCCTTTGCGTCTCAGGAGGAGACTGGCCGAGCCATTCTCTCTGTCCTTAAGCTTCGACATGACTTTCTGCGGAGCAAGAACATCGACGACATGCGCTACGTTCTCACGGAGCCTGAGCGCCAGGAATTGGTCAGAGTAGCTCGCGACCAGTACGAGCAGTCGCGGCAGCAGCGTGCGCTTCAGGAACGGGATATCGAAAAGGGAAAAGCGAAAGGCAAGTCTGCGCCACAAGGGGGCCATGCGGTTCCGCAGGGTCCGAACAAAGGGCCAGGCGGTAAGAAAGGTTCTCACGGTGCTTCTCAGCCTGCGGGAAAAGGTGGCCAGGCCAAGGGTGCAGGTCTGGGTAGCGTCGCCAAGTTTGTGAAAGACCAGAAGCGTAAGCGGTGGCATCGCCATTTGCAACGTGTGGCCGGTACCAAACAGATCTGGGAGGTGCTGGCCTTCTCAGGGCGCTTCGACGTTGATTGGTTAACGCAAGCGTTGCAAGCTGATCACAGTGAGGGCCGTGATGCAGCAGTTCCCGAGGAAGCTCTGCGGCAACAGCGGCGCCGGCTGCACCACCAGAAGGCCGAGGCCATCGCGCGCTACAACGAGGGGGAGCGGCTTTCCCTCCATCTGTCTGCCCAGGCTGGCCAGGCAAAGCCGAACTTCACGCGCAGGCAGCTGGACGTGTTGCAGATGTTTGAGAGCGGAGCGCTGCTTCAAATCCGCAACCAAGCGATTCTGGCGTGCGGGCACGGCCGTCTGTTCAGGGGCGATGGCGACTACCTGGACATCGGCGGCAGCACGGGCGGTGGCTCCAGGCGCATCATCGATTCTTGGCAGCCGCCGGACTGGCGTGACTTCCTCCAAGACGATCAGGACATCTGAGTTTTGCAAGTCTCTCTGCCCGCGGTGCTTCTCAGCCTGCGGTCTGCCGCTCTCCAGCTGCGGTCTCGAGCAGTAGTGTTCGAAAGCATGCGAGTTCCTGCGGTGCTTCTCAGCCTGCAGGTTTCGCAGCCTGCGCTCTGCAGTACAAGTGCTTTTCAGCATGCGACATCCTGCGGTGCTTCTCAGCCTGCAGGGTTCGCAGCGTGCGGTTTGCAATGCATTCCTTTTCAGTATGCGAGTTCCTGCGGTGTTTCTCAGGTTGCAGGGCTCCGAGGCTCTTCCCTTCGATGCCAATGTTTTCAGACACCGTAGCTCCGTTCCGTAAACGTCTTCCAAGAGCCGCTCGCAACCTTTTGCAGCTGGCTGTCTGCACGCTTCGCCGGCTTTTGCTGCGCGGACAATTTTCTCACACACGTCAGCGCCGTTTGTAGGCGTCAGAAAAACATGTAGACATTCACGAAGGGCTCAGTCTGTATATCGTCACATCATTACATACGCAGTCGTCGAACACATCGGTGTACATTCAGCGCTTTGTCCTTCTACAGCATTCTTTCCGTTGATAACAGTGTTCTGATGGGTTCGCTTCGTTCTAAAAGCGTTGATAGCAGTGTCTCGTTTGCGGACAACTCATTCTATATCAACTCACTGATACCGAGTTTCCTTTCACCATAAGTGAATGCATACCAGTGTATGTTGGTTACTACAAAAGTGGGTTCCTACAACCGACTTCATGATCGCTATCATCATCGCAGATTTCACTCATCCTCATCACCACGACTGGTTCACGTTGGCCTGCGGTGCTTCTCAGCCTGCAGTTCCTTTCGTTACACTGTAGTTGAAGCCGTTCATGGCAGTGACTCGTTTAAAGACAACTTTAGTATTGGGGGAAGTGTCGATAGCAGCGTTTCTTTTTACTTATACAAGCGTTGATAGCAGTGTCTCGTTTGTGGACAACTCATTATATATCAACTCATTCATGCAGAGTTTCTTTTCGCAGCAAGTGAATGCACAGCAGTGTATCTGCATTACTGGCCCCCACTCCATTATCACTATCATCATCAACGATTTCCTACACGCGTGTGCGCGGCGGTCGCCATGAGTGAATAGTTTGCAGAGACTTCTCGCATTGATACCCATGGGTCACTTCAGAGTGAACTCATTTGTGATCTTCTTTCATTGGAAGTTGAATCGGTTGATGGCAGTGCCTCGTTTAAACTCCACTTTGGTATTGCTAGTAGTGTCAATGCCAGCGTTTCTTTTTAATTGTGCAAGCGTTGATAGCAGTGTCTCGTTTGTGGTTAGTTATAACAGCGTTGACAGCAGTGTCTCGTTTGCGGACACCTCATTGTACATCAACTCGCTGATACCGGGTTTCCTATCAACACCATCATCATCATCCTTAACCATGTTTGCTCGAGTTTCACCTGGCCGTCCAGCCGCGGCGGTGCTCCTCAGCCTGCCTTGTCACAATGCCAGCACGCGGCAAGGCATCGCCCCCGCCACCCCCGGCCCCGTGCGATGGCCCGTGGGAGATTCTGCCGGATCCGCCCGCACCGACTCCTCAGCCAGGTGTCGACGTGGTCTTTGAGCAGGCTCACCTCGAAGACATCCGCCGTGCACCAGGGATGGGCGGCAAGACCGCCTGCCAGTGGCAGCGCGCGCTGCGCGCCGAGTGCATTGTCAACAACTTGTCGTTCAAAGACGTAACAAACGACCCGTCCTACGACTGGAAGCAACTGCTTCGGTCTGCCGCTCCGGGTTTCGCTGAGCGCATAATCGGGCAGGGCATCGCCCAGGTTCTCTTTCGCATCATCGAGACAGAGCGCGACCCTAACTACTCCAACACGGATGGCCACGGCAGGCACTTCTTCGAGTTCCGTCGTGCAGACGGTTCAGCCATGCGCCTGCATTACCATAAGAACGGCCGACCCGATGAGCCCACCTATGTCGGTCCACCACGCGCCGTTGCTCAGCCTGCCGTGCCTGAGCCTGGCGCTGCTCAGCCTCATGTTCCTCGTGGCGGCGCTGCTCAGACTGCCGTGCCTGACGGTGGCGCTGCTCAGCCTGCCGAGACTGGCGGTGATGCCCCACTGCTCTTCACACAGGAGCACCTGCAAGAGGCAGCCTGCTCGCGCCAGATTGTGGGCCGCGACGAAGCCAGCGCCGCTCTCCAATCGCTGTTGCACTACCACCATGGCGAGACTGCCCCAGGTGCTGTTGACATCACCGATGGCTCAGCATTTGACTGGCTTCGATGGGTGGCACATATCGAAGGTGCGCGCGACGTCATCCGCAATGGCGTCCACAGGGTCTACGCTGTCCGCTGGAATCCGCACTGGGCTCCAGAGGCCGTCTTCTGCTACGGCAACAACACCTACAGCACACTGGTGCCCCGCAAATCGCGCTACACAGGCTCGTGGAGCCACGCGCGAATTGTGACTCACCGGAACGCCAATTGGGTGACCGAACCGTTGCTATCTGCGGCCCCTGTGGCAGCTACGCCGTGGCTGGTGTTGCGGGATCAAATAACCTGGGAGTGATCTCTGGCAAACGAGATGTGGTGCTTCTCAGCCTGCACTCATGTGACACGCAATGCCGTGCCCTGCAATCGCGTGGTGTTTCTCAGCCTGCACTCGCAGGTCCTTCGGAGGTCAATTGTTATGAGTTCGGCACGGTCTCGGTCAAGTACAGCGTGCTGTGGGGATCCCGAGATGGGGCCTGGCTCAAGGTGCTCAAGACGTACTGGAGTGTCCCAGAGCCGGAGTGCCAGCTGATCCTCGGGAGTTGGAACGGCATTTTCAGGCCGTGGCCGGACACGTTCTGGATCAGGACGGGGGGGTCCGAGCCCGAGATAGATGCTAGCGCTCTGCAGTACAAGTGCTTTTCAGCATGCGACATCCTGCGGTGCTTCTCAGCCTGCAGGGTTCGCAGCGTGCGGTTTGCAATGCATTCCTTTTCAGTATGCGAGTTCCTGCGGTGTTTCTCAGGTTGCAGGGCTCCGAGGCTCTTCCCTTCGATGCCAATGTTTTCAGACACCGTAGCTCCGTTCCGTAAACATCTTCCAAGAGCCGCTCGCAACTTTTTGCAGCTGGCGGTCTGCAGACGTAGTCTGTCTCAGCATGCGAGCTCCCGCACGCTTCGCCGGCTTTTGCTGCGCGGACAATTTTCTCACACACGTCAGCGCCGTTTGTAGGCGTCAGAAAAACATGTAGACATTCACGAAGGGCTCAGTCTGTATATCGTCACATCATTACATACGCAGTCGTCGAACACATCGGTGTACATTCAGCGCTTTGTCCTTCTAGCTGGGTCGCTTCGTGCTGAGGCTGAGGCTGATGCAGGCTGAGGCTGAGGCAGGCTGAGGCTGAGGCCGAGGCCGACGGCAGACTGAGGCTGAGGCTGAAGCAGGCTGAGGCTGAGGCAGAGGCAGGCTGAGGCTGAGGCTGAGGCAGGCTGATGCTGAGGCAGGCTGAGGCTGAGGCTGAGGCTGATGCAGGCTGAGGCTGAGGCAGGCTGAGGCTGAGGCCGAGGCCGAAGGCAGACTGATGCTGAGGCTAAAGCAGGCTGAGGCTGAGGCTGAGGCAGGCTGAGGCTGAGGCAGGCGGAGGCTGAGGCTGAGGCAGGCTGAGGCTGAGGCTGTGACTGCGACTGCCGTTGCCACTGCGACTGTCCTCGCGAATGCGACAACGACTGCGAGAACAGCAGAATTCTACAACTGGATTCTCATCCGAATCTTAAGGGGAATGCTTCCAGATATGCTCCTACACATGGCTGTTAGGTTGCTTTGCCGGGATAATTCAGACGGCGCGAAGGTTTTTGAGACACCCCGCCGCCTTCTGAGACGGCATGCCTACTCCCAGTCTTGTGTTCCTCTAGGGGGAGCGACGTGCACCAGACTGGCCCAACATTGACCTGTGGTGGTTTGGTGTCATTTGCGTATATCTCCACATGTCCGATGTCTTCTGGGGCGAGGACTAGCTTTCAACGCGTCCCCTGATTCCCCCTCGTCCGCGCACATGCCCGCGCCCATAGTTTTCGAACCCCTCTCCTGGACGCTTGGATGTCCCCGATTCACTGCGTTGGATGTCTGGGCTTGGTGCGTCTCATCCCTTGCCCTGTGAAGGGCTTCTCCGCCGAGCAATTCGGCAGCATCACGCGTTTCTTCCGGGCGCGCGCCACCGACGGCACGGTGAGCGCCAGGGACCTTGCGGCTATCCTCGAGCAGGCCTGTCCCGACCTGGCCAAGCCACGGGCGAACGTGGCGAGAGTGGTTGCCTTGCAACGTCGGGAGACCCAGGCTGTCCTGTGAAGGGCTGTCTTTTTCTGGTGTCCCGACGTACGTTTGGCGCGTATTCGATGCGGGTGGATCGTGGATTCGACAGATTCGACATGGGTTCGTGGATTCGACACGCATTGGATTCGCATAGTGGGGCGATCGGGCAGGCAAGGTCCCCCGAGGTTGCAACAGAAGAGCGGCGGGTCAATTACGGCGGGCGGCGGGTGTCCGGGCTCCCGCGGGCACCCATCGCTCGTGGAGAGCGCTCTTGTACTCCCAGACCCCCAACCGATTTTAATACTCGAATTGCTGTCCTCTTTCTTCCAGGGGGTTGGCGATCGCTCAATATCCTTCATATGCCTTTCTTCGCACAAGAAGAAATTCAGACTTCCACTCAATGGGGGCTCTGCGCAGATTTCTTGGATCTGCGTCGGGCCTCCCTGGTGGCGCCTCCAGCGCCGATCCAAGAAGTACGAGCGGACCTTCGAACGTGTATTTGTTGTGCGTTCGTTTCTTGTACATGTTCCAACGCGAGGCGCTTTCCTATTTCAAGGGTCGGATGGCTGTTCCCTTTCCTTTTCCTGGGGGTGGGCGGGAGCCTGATCTACCTCCTGTGCTTTCCTACTTCATGTCTCTACCCGCTTCTTTCGAAAGATGGGTCGAGTATGCCGCCACACATCTCTGTGGGCGATTAGGGTCCCCGAGGTTTTCGTGGTTTTTGGTCTTGGGTCCCGGGTGTTGTAAGCTGGAACCTGGCGAACACGTTGCCGCCTGTTTCGGTAGGCGGCCGGGTTCCCTGGCTTCCGGGTCCTGGTGACAGTCTCCCGCCGATTCTGGTCGTCCTGTCCGCCGTGGCCCAGGGCCCTGACCAGGGAGTCTCATGGGGGCTTTTCGCAGAGGAGTCTCAGGTCACTCGCGAGGGCGTGAAAATGATATCGTGCCTCGCGCGTCGCGGCCTGGGCCGGAGCAGCGGCCCTTTGCCATGGGCCATGGTGGCCGCGCGGGGGCGCCGGGGGCGCGAAGGGAGCCCGAGCGTCGCGTATGCCTTGGTTTATCGCTCGGATGTGTGCATGTCTTCTCGGCGTGGGCCATCGAGGAGCATCCGGGAGCAGCGAGCAGAACACATGCAGATGACCGACAAATGCCCAGGGAGTGGGCGTCTGAGCGATGTTGAACAGTGGGGCACGGTGCACGAGGTCAGGTGGCCTGGGGAATCGCACGAGAGATGTCTGTCGGGCAGGTCTACCCAGACCTGGCCACGGGCGAGAACTTCCGCGCCTACATCCAGAGGGCGATGGTGGAGGACTTAGACACCCGGCGTCACGAAAAGTTCGTGCCTTCCTGGTTGCCTCCAGTTCAGGCGGCTGAAGGCCGATCCCAGTCCCCGTGACCGTCCCAAAACGGACCAAGGGAACTGTTTTTGCTGGCCGGGCTGGTCACGGGCGCTTTTGGGAACGAGTTACGTGGGCTCAAGATCGAGCGGGGCGTCATCGAGGGGTGTGTGTGTGTGGATTTCATGGCCGGCGCCATGACACCCTCCAGGCTTCATGCCGCCCCCCCCCGTCTTCGGCCCACCCAAGTCAGAAGTCTGTCCTTAGGATGGGGTCGAGAGGCCCGGGGACGGGCCACCCGAACAAAGTCGAGTCGTCGAATGTTCGGGGACGGATAGAGGGAGACAGAGAACGAGAGAGAGAGAGAGAGACAGACAAACAAACAACACATCGCGTGGTTATACCGACGAGTTGGTGCGCATTCTGATGAGCATCAGCGCCAGCATGGCCATCGGCAGGGCGCTGGCTGACAAGGCGCCCAAACCATGATCAACGAAACAATGGCTCAATACAGGTTACATGTTTGACTGGTGATCGGGAGAGGGAGAGAGAGACAGAGAGAGAGAGAGAGAGCAAGAAAGGGAGGGCGAGAGAGAGAGAGAGAGGGAGCCCGCGTGACTACGCACGCCCAAGTTCTGAGCGCGACCCTTCCGTAGCCTTTCTCTGCAGCCGCCCTGGTTTTTTTCTAGCTGCTGCTCGGTGCGCAATTGACGTTGTCCTGGGCCAGGAGGTCCCCAAACGATTCGTTGTCCGCTCGTTCGCAGCGGCAGGCAAGTTCATTACGCCTGCTGTGCTCGCCCTGATGCCGTCGCCCCGCTTTCTGAGCGCGCATGCGGACTGCCTCCGCCGCGCTGCGACGGAATAGATGCTGTGCTCGCCCGCCCCTGGCAGCCACTGCTTCGGGATCGGGCCATGACGACCCAGGGTGGCGCGGCGGCGCCCGACGTGGAGTACGCCCCACTCATCCCCCCCTTGCTGTGTCCGCCGCCGCCGCCTCTCACATTCCACTTGGCGACGACCATCGAGGAGCATCCTTAATCATCTAGCCAAATATACACGCACGGAATCGAGGCATGCACGGGGAATGGATGCGATGGCGAGTCCCATCGACGCTTGGCTGTTTTCGGGCAGTAGCCCGGGTCTCCGGCGGCCGTCGGGGACGTGGGGAGGACCCCGGGCGCCCACATAAAGCTCTCCGCGAGGCGCGGGCGTTGGAGAATAGCAGAACTTCCAAGAATCAGCAAACCACCTCCAGGAACATCTCGAGGCGAGACAACTTCCACACATCACAGCAAGACACCTCCAGGAGCCAGCCTCCCAAACCCAGACTGCCTCGTGCAGCGGCGTCTCTGCCACGTCGCGCCCTGGTATCAGGAGGGAACAAAACACACAGACACAATCATCGTCGATCTCCAGGAGAATAGGGGAAATATGGGAAGCGGAGGGGGAAGACAAAAAAACGAGAAAATATGGGAAACGTAGCACCCCGCAATTGCGGATAAGAGTGAGGGGGCGGGCGCGGGCGACGCGGGCGTCGTCGAGCCGGCGGACCTCGTGGCCCCCACCTTCCCTGTCGATGGCGCTCTCCTCCTCCTCCTCCTCCTCCTCCTCCTCCTCCTCCTCTTCCTCGTCCTCGTCCTCGTCGTCATCGTCATCGTCATCCTCCTCCTCCACCTCGTCCTCCTCCTCTTCTTCCTCGTCCTCCCTCTCCCCCCCTCGTCCTTTCATCATCGTCCTCCCATTGTCGTCCTCCCCCTCATCGGCCTCATCATCGTCCCATCGTCCTCCCATCATCATCCATCATCGTCCATCATCATCATCATCCTCCCCCTCCTCCCCCTCCTCCCCCTCCTCGTCCTCCTCCTCCCCCTCCTCCCCCTCCTCGTCCTCCTGCTGCTCCTCCTCCTCCTCTTTCTCCACATTCTCCTTACATCCTCTCTTCTTTCGCGTCCTCCTCGTCCCCTGTTTACTCCTCCTGCCTCCCCCTCCTTTCCCAAGATAACGGCAACGCAATCCTTTTTTCCACTTTATGCTCCCCGACTTCTCTGATCAAGGCAACTCGCCAGGGCAAAGTTGCTGGACGGGCTGGTGTGGATGCGCGGGGCTTGAAGAGGTCGTTGCGGGCTCAGGCGGCATGCAAAAATCCGCCGCCGCGCTTGTGCGGCATTGGTTTGTTCAGTGAACGTGGTTTGGGTCGCGGGCTCTCCACCTCCACCTGGAAGGAATGCAAAAGCAGCCCGCCGCAGGCGCCGAAAAAATTGGTTTGTACACTGAACGTGGAATGGCTCGCGGGTGGGCCGCGGGTTCTCCACCGGGAGCGGATGCAAAAGATGCCCGCCGCAGGCGCCGAAAACATTTGGTTTGTACCCTGAACGTGGTCGCGGGTGGGCCGCGGGCTCTCCATGAAACGAGTGCAAAAGATGCCCGCCGCAGGCGCCGAAAAATGTGGTTTGTACCCTGAACGTGGTTTGGGTCGCGGGTTGGTCGCGAGTTGGTCGCGGGGTGGGTCGCGGGCTCTCCACCTGGAAGGAATGCAAAAAAAAAAAACCGCCGCAGGCGCCGAAAATGGTGGTTTGTACCTTGAACGTGGTTTGGGTCGAAGGTGGGTCGCGGGTGGGTCGCGGGTGGGTCGCGGGTGGGTCGGGTGGGTCGGGGTGGGTCGGGTGGGTCGCGGGTGGGTCGCGGGGTGGGCCGCGGGCGGGTCGCGGGGTGGGTCGCGGGTGGGTCGCGGGTGGGTCGCGGGTGGGTCGCGGGGTGGGTCGTGGGGTGGGTCGCGGGGTGGGTCGCGGGTGGGTCGCGGGGTGGGTCGCGGGGTGGGTCGCGGGGTGGGTCGCGGGTGGGTCGCGGGTGGGTCGCGGTTGGGTCGCGGGGTGGGTCGCGGGGTGGGTCGCGGGTGGGTCGTGGGTGGGTCGCGGGGCGGGTTTCGGGTGGGGCGACGACAACAACAGCAACAACAACAAACAACAACACACAACAACAAACAACTACAAACAACAACAACGAGAATCCGCACCGCGGGTTCCCACTTCAGTCACGCACCCAGGGACAGTGAATGACCGCTCGGCCCCCTCACTCTGACTATGCGGAATCATGTTATTTTGTGTGTGTGTGTGTGTTGATTTGTGTGTCCCAGGGCCCCTTTTTCAAAATAATTGGTGCAAAACAGAATTTCAGACGCTTCGCGTATCCCCACCAGCCCGTCCAGAAACGACGCCCAGGCGAGTAGAGGGTCGTCCTGGGGGGCTTTTCGGCGCCTTGGGTGCCTCGGGGGGGCCTCTGTGGGCTGTTCGGGATCCTCTTTGGGGCCTCCTGGGGGCCTCTTGGGGCCTCTTGGGGCCATCTTGGAGCCTTTGGGGGCCTCCTGGGTGCTTCTCGGGGCCTCCTGGGTGCTTTTTGGGTGCCCCTGGGGGGTCTCTTGGGGCCTCTTGGGGGTTTCTTGGGGGCCTCCTGGGGGCCTCTTGGGGGGCCTCGGAGCCATCTTGGAGGAGATCGATCAACGAAGGGGGGCTCCCTAATTACAGCCCCCCCCTCAGGAACCACGATCCTCGCCCTCCCAGGAGTCGATCTTGGGCGCTCCAACGCGCCGCGGAACCCCCTGTCCAGGTCAGTGGGGAGGGGGTAGGGGGAGGGGTAAACCCCTCCCCGAAGGGGAAGAGGGAGGGGTGGAAGAGGAAACGCTCTAAACCACCGACGCCCAGAGGGCTGGTGGGATTTCCCGAGGTCCGCTCGGATTTCTTGTGTCGGTGTCGGCCCCCCCCTCGGTGCAGATTCTTGCATCTGCGTTGACCTGCCCTTCCTGGCGCGCACCTCCACCCCCACCTGACCCCTCTGTGGTGCTGGGTTGGAGAGCTCCGCAACCCGATCGCGTTGGTTCTTCATAGTGGGAGACTCTACTCCGCCCCCCACCTGGACACCCCACTCGTCTGGGGTCTGGGGAGGGGTACCACGTGGGAAGTGGTGTGCTTATTCGTTTACCTACCTGTCGTTCCCCTCCGGAGGACCCGGACGAGGACCCCCTCGAGTTCGGGCGGATCGCTTACGAGCGCTTCGTCCAGATCGTGGAGATGTTCGGCGCTTTCCAGGATCTCTCAAAAAGGAAGGGGAGGAGAAGTAGCAGGGGCAAGAGGAGGTTGATGGAGGGACGGGCGGTTTCATTGGGACGTTTCCCATCAGAGGGGGCCTTTTCTCACCACGACTGGACTCTGGATTCATTGCAAGATCATGCCAAATTGCGCTCAAGGACAGGTCTGGGGCTCGACCAGTACCTGGAGGAAAGGGGAGGAGGAGGACGAGGGAGGATGGAGCAAGATCATCAAATTCGGTGTCCCGTTCCAGATCCTGGACCGTCATTAATTCAGGTCGAGCGATGTCGCGCAAAGATAGTGTTGAGCGGTTTGGGAATCGACGTTAAGGGCATGGCGGAGCCCTGACAGTCCGGGTGACGTGAAACAGTCACGACGGATGCCTTCGCTTCGTCTCCAGGCCCCAGCCTTCCCATGCGTAATCAGGAGATTAGGGTTCCTGCGTGCCGTCAGAGAGAGGGCACTGCGGATCCAGAGCAGCGCGTTTGGTTAGACTCGGGATTCGCAGAGCACATAATACGACAGGGGCCAATTACATATCCAGGATGAAACGTGATCGACTCATGGACACGGAAAGGAATCAAGAACTGTAAGGCATGGCATAGTATTCAAGACACCTGGTTGAGCGACGGGTATTTGAAATGCTGAGTTTATCGATCTTGATGTACCGTGCCAAGGGCTGTGCTGCGCCGTGCCGAATTGCGGTGTGCCATGCCGCGATTGTGCTCTATAGTAGAGTGGATCGAGTTCTCCGTTGCATACGAGTCCTGACCGATTTGATCTGGATCTTAAGCTCGAGCTGCCTTATTAGCACACAGCAGCTGCCCTAGAGCTAATTGACAGGGGGGGGCATGCCATGGGGACGCGCCGCGGAACGTCCCAAGGGACGCGCCAGAAAACATGCCAGGAGACGTGCCATGGGGACGTACCGCGGGACGTGCCAAGGGGAAGCGCTACGGAACGTGCCAATGGACGTGCCACGGGACGTGCCAGGGGACGCGCCGCGCGACGTGCCAGGGGGTTTCGCCACGGGACGCGCCACGGAACGTGCCAGGGAACGTGCCAGGTTGCAATGCTAAGTGTATCGGCCTTGACGTACCGTGCCAAGGGCTGTGCTGTGCTGCGCCGTGCTGAATTGTGATGTGCCATGCCGCGATTATGCTCTTTAGCGTTGTGGATCGACCCCTCCTTTGCACCCGAGTCCTGACCGAACTGATCTGGACCTTAAGTTCGAGATGCTTGAACACACACAGAAGCTGCCCCAAAAGCTAATTGACATCGGGACATGCCATGGGGACGCGCCGCGGAACGTCCCGAGGGACGCGCCAGGGAGCGTGCCAGGTTATTGGCAGTTCGGTGCGGTAGTTTAGAACGGAAGGTTTACAGGGTAAGGGTCGCAGAAGAGGGGGTTTTCGTTGAAACTTATTCGGTTCAGCAGCTTGCTGAATTTCTCTCTTTGCGATGGGGGGACGGCCCCCTTCGGGGTTGCCACAGCCATGGCGGCCGCCGCCATGCTCTCTGCCCCTGCGCTCGCCGCCGTCCTGCGCTGGGGCGCGGCCGCGGCCGCGGCCGCCTGGCTGGCTGCGCTGCCAAGCCTCCGCCCGGCGGCGATCGCCGCACAGGCGTTGGCGCCGGCGCCCCCCGCGCCCGCAGTCTCCCATGAGGAGAACGCGGAGGAACGGGACTACGCGTACGACGACCTGGACCACCCGGTGGCTGCGGGTTTCCTGGGTCTCATCAAGAACCGGCCGGGCTCGACGACGTGGTTGCGTTGGTCGCAACACTGGATGGCCCCGCCGGCCCGTCGGCACCCGAACCCGCTCGGGGACTCGAGCTGGCGAGGGACATCGGCGAGAATGCCGAACCAGAGACAGATCCTGAAGCCGCGGCCCCTCCACGTCTAGAGGTAACCTAGCGGCACGGCGTGTAACCGCCACCCCCGGATAACAAATCCACTTTTTCCCACATGAGCGTTTATCATCCCCGGCCAATGCAGATTTGGTCGGGAGAGGGGGGCGGCAATTCCGAATTAGAATAGCGCGGGGGATAGTTGCGAATCGAAGGTGCCACATTCTTTTGTTGGCTCGCAACATCATCAAGACGCATGGCATGGCTATGGGGGTCTCACCATTTCGGTTTCCGCAAGTCAAGAACGCCTGGCAGGGCGACGGGATTCCCACCATTGACAGTTTTCCCATGTCACGTTTTCTCAGCCCTTCCCGAGTCAGGAACGTGCGGCTGGCTGGGCCACGGTGACAGATTGGATTTTGAAGGTAACGTTTGCTATTCGACGTTTTCACCAATTTAGCTTTCCCAAGTCACGAACGCGTGGCAGTGCCCAGGGATTCTCACTTTCTCAACCCTTACCGAGTCAGAAACGCGTGGCGCGCAGTTCGTGGTCCCATAGGGAGCTCCACCGAAGGCCCTTGCGGCGGTGCCCGCATGCGTCCGCGCCTTTCGTAGGCCCCCCAGTTTAGCACGCCGCTCGCGCAGTTCGTGGCGCCATAGTTCCATCCACGGGACGTCCTCCCCCCCCCCCCCTGCGCCTTCATCTCCGCCTCTCCCCCCCTCCACCTCTCGCTCCACCCCCCCCCGCAACCGCGTTGGCTTGAGTCCCCCGCGCTGGGCGCCTCGGAGCCCCTCCCGAGGCCGTGGGCCTCCGCCCAGCCGCCGCCACCGAGCGCGGCGCATTCCCGGGCCCGCGCGAGGGCGACAGCGCTTTTCCGGCGCGCCGAGCCCCGGGGTCTGGGGCCCAGCCGAGCGGGTTGTCGAGTTGACCGAGCTTTTCGCCGAGGTGCTCCAGCAGAACAAGGAACTGCTGCGCAAGCAGGACGCGACCAGCAACTACCTCACGCACCTGTGCGAAAAGACCTCCTTCGTCGAAACATGCGCCAGTGCCCGACGAGCGGCGAAGCCGCCGACGCATCAAGGAAGACGGGCATGTATTTCCGAGGCTCGAGCTCCATGTGGTCGAGTAGCGTCTTGAGCGCGGTGCTCGAAACGATCTGCAAGTCGGGCGCGATCGAGTCCGCCGTGCACGAGGGCATCTTCCACGAGATGGACATCCGCCGTTCCGAGCCCCCCCCACCTTCTGGCAGACGCGGCGCGAGAAGACTGGCGAGACTTTCGACGCCTTCGAGGAACGAGACTTTCTTGGCGACGAGACCGTCGACGAGCTGCGCGACGGCCCCAGAGCCTTGCCAGATCGACATCGCTCGCGGCCGCGCAAAGGGGGGGGCGATTAATAAAGGGGGGAAGGGGGGGGGCAGCGAGGGCTGCCGAGAAGGAGCCACGTAGCTCTCAGGGCCGCGCGCCTTCGCGACTTTCACTGCGCCTGCGCCCCCGAGGCCGCGTTCCCCGATGAATTCGTTGCGTCCGCGCCCCGGGGGCCACGGTCCCTCGCGAACTACGCTGCGTCCGCGCCCGCTGGGCCACGACGCTTTCTAAATTGCGCTGCGTCCGCGCTTCCAGCGCAACGGTCCTTTGGCAAATTCTAGACATTTCGCGTATCCGACAAGCCCATCCAGAAACGATGTCCAGGCGAGTTGAGGTGATCAGGGAACTGCGGAAGCGAAGAGGAGGCTGTCCGAACCGTGCAAAGGAGTGAGAAAGGAGAAGGAGGAGGTGGATGGATGGATGGACGAGGGAGTGGGACGAAGGAGGATGAATAGGAGGAGGAGGAGGAGGAGGAGGAGGAGGAGGAAGAGAAGGAGTAGGAGAGGAAGGAGGAACAGGAGGAGGAGGAGGAGGAGGAGGAGGAGGAGGAGGAGGAGGAGGGAGAGAGAAGGAGTAGGAGCAGGAAGGGGGAACAGGAGGAGGAGGAGGAGGACAACCACAAGGGCCAGAGGTCTCTTGGAGTCTTCTCGCAGCCTCTTAGGGCATCTCTTGGGCGATTATTGGTGGCCTCTTGGGACGTCTTGGGGGTCTTTTGGCGATCCTGGGGGGCTCTTTCGGGGTCTTCGGTGCCTCGGGGGGGGGCTCCTGGGGCCGCTTAGGGTCTTCTTGGGGGCCTCCTGGGGGCCTCTTGGGGGCATTTTGGGGCCATATTGGGGCCATCGTGGGACCTCTTGAGGCCTCCTGGGCGCTCTTTGGGGCCATCTTGGCGGAGATCGGTCAACGAAGCGGGGTTCTTTAATCTGGGTCCCCCCCCCGAGGCCAAAATGGGGCCAAAACCGCAGCAAAACCAATGATTTGCGTTTCCTCGCCGAGGCCGTTTTGGACGCCGTGACACCTCCCCGCCCCTCCCGTCCAGGTCCACGGGGAGGGGGTAGGGGGAGGGGTAAACCCCTCCCGGAAGGGAAAGAGGGAGGGGTGGAAGAGAAAACGCCCTAAACCACCGACGCCCTGAGGGCTGGTGGGATTACGCTGCGCCCGTGCCCCCAGGGCCACGATCCACGCTGGGGCCGCCGTTCCAGGGCTGCGCTCCTTTGTGGATTGCGATGCGTCCGTGTTCCCACGGCCGCGTTTCCGCGTGAATTGCGCTGCGCCCGGGCTCCCAAAATTATTTGGGCATCCTGGAGCGCCCAGGCCGCTCGAGTTCTGCAAAACAAGCGTTTCGCACGAGACATCCTCGAAGTTCCTGCGCTCGGGGCGCGCCAGCCTCGAGCGGGCACGCAAAACATTGTGCTTCGATATTTGGTGGTAAGATTGCAGACTCGCCAAACTTAGCGTTTGGTCGGTGATTCTGCGCAGAACGCTCGTTTTTTTGCGAAGGAAAACGGGCTTCTGTGGGCCCCATTATTTATCGAGGATCGGAGATAAAAGGGGGCACATGTTCTTCGAGCGGGCACGCGCGAAACGCATTCTTGGACACATGATCATTTGTTACTTTTCTCGCTTATCGCAAACAATTCCGCCGGCCCTTCCCCAACATGGCACCGGGGACAGGCTTACAAATTACGCTACCGGGGAACCCCACATATTTATGTTATGGCTGGAGCCATGATAGCTGAAGTGAAGCATGTGAGAATGATGTTGGTGGCCGTTGCCCCGTCGATACCCTTGGTGACGCCACTCAAGAGGAGAGGTGGAAGAGGAGAAGCGACGCGCCAGCCACATTTTGCGAGCCCGAAACAGATAGCGACCGCACCCCCAAGGCACCCTATTGTGGCGTCGAGAAAATGCAACGCTTGCCACGCTTTGCGAAGCCGAAGCGGATATCGACCGCACCCCTGGCGCACCCCCTGTGGCATCGAGAAAGTACAGCGCCTGCCACGCCTTGCGAGCCCGAAACACCCCCAGCGCACCCCTTTGGTGGCGCCGAAGAAGCGTCACGCCTGCCACGCTTTGCGAGCCCGAAGCGGATAGCGACCGCCCCCCCAGCGCACCCTTCGGCGTCGAGAAGTTGCCACGCCTGCCACGCTTTGCGAGCCCAGAACGGGGAGCGACCGCACCCCCAGCGCACCCTTTGTGGCGGTGAGAACGTGCCACGCTTGCCAACGCTTCGCGATGCCGAGACGGATATCGACCGCACCCCGGGCGCACCCCCTGTGGCATCGAGAAAGTACCGCGCTTGCAACGCCTTGCGAGCCCGAAACGAATAGCGACCGTACCCCCAGCGCACCCTTGTGGCGTCGAGGAAGTGTCACGCCTGCCTCGCTTTGCGTGGCCGAAACGGGTAGCGACCGCACCCCCCGCGCACTCCCTTCGGCGTCGAGAAGTTGCCGCGCCTGCCACGCTTTGCGAGCCCGGAACGGATAGCGACCGCACCCCCAGCGCACCCCTTGTGGTGTCCAGAAAATGCCACGCCTGCCAGGCGTTGCGGCAGTGTCGTGGACTGAGAGACCGCCCCCTGCGCACCCCCTAAAGTGCCACGCATGCTAGGTTTTGCGACAGTGTCGTGGATAACGGCCGCGCTGAAAGACCACCCCCTGCGCACCCCCTGTGGTGTCCAGAAAGTGCCACGCCTGCGAGGCTTCGCGACATTGTCGTGGATAGCGGCCGCGCTGAGAGATCACCTCCTGCGCACCCCCTGTGGTGTCCAGAAAGTGCCATGCCTGCTAGGCTTTGCGACAGTGTCGTGGATAGCGGCCGCGCTGAGAGACCACCCCCTGCGCACCCCCTATGGTGTCCAGACAGTGCCACGCCTGCGAGGCTTTGCGACAGTGTCGTGGACAGCGGCCGCGCCGAGAGACAACCCCCTGCGCACCCCCTATGGTGTCCAGATAGCGGCCGCGCTGAGAGACCACCCCCTGCGCACCCCCTATGGTGTCCAGACAGTGCCACGCCTGCGAGGCTTTGCGACAGTGTCGTGGACAGCGGCCGCGCCGAGAGACAACCCCCTGCGCACCCCCTATGGTGTCCAGAAAGAGCTAGCCTGTTTGCATTTGCGACACTGTCGTGGATAGCGGCCGCGCTGAAAGACCACTTGCTGCGCACACCCTATGGTGTCCAGGCAGTGCCACGCCTGCGAGGCTTTGCGACAGTGTCGTGGATAGCGGCCGCGCTGAGAGACCACCCCCTGCGCACGCCCTATGGTGTCCAGACAGTGCCACGCCTGCGAGGCTTTGCGACAGTGTCGTGGATAGCGGCCGCGCTGAGAGACAACCCCCTGCGCACCCCTATGGTGTCCAGGAAGTGCCACGCCTGCTAGGCTTTGCAACAATGTCGTGGGTAGAGGCCGCGCTGAAAGACCACCCCCTGCGCACCCCCCATGTGTCCAGAAAGTGCCACGCCTGCCAGGCTTTGCGACAGTGTCGTGGATAGCGGCCGCGCTGAGAGACCCCCCCTGCACACCTCTTAACATGTCCAGACAGTGCCACGCTTGCTAGGCTTTGCGACAGTGTCGTGGATAGCGGCCGCGCTGAGAGACCACCCCCTGCGCACCCCGTATGGTGTCCAGAAAGCGCCACGCCTGCTAGGTTTTCCGACAATGTCGTGGATAGCGGCCGCGCTGAGAGACCACCCCCTGCGCCCCCCATATGGTGTCCAGAAAGTGCCACGCCTGCGAGGTTTCGCGACAGTGTCGTGGATAACGGCCGCGCTGAAAGACCACCCCCTGCGCACCCCCTTATGGTGTCCAGACAGTGCCACGCCTGCTAGGCTTTGCGACAGTGTCGTGGATAGCGGCCGCGCTGAGAGACCACCCCTTGCACACCCCCTATGGTGTCCAGACAGTGCCACGCCTGCTAGGCTTTGCGACAGTGTCGTGGATAGCGGCCGCGCTGAGAGACCCCCCCCGCGCACCCCCTTATGGTGTCCAGACAGTGCCACGCCTGCTTGGCTTTGCGACAGTGTCGTGGATAGCGGCCGCGCTGAGAGACCACCCCCTGCGCACCCCCTATTGTGTCCAGAGGTGCTGTGCTGTGTGGTGCTGAGGGGTGCTGTGCTGAGGTGCTGTGCTGTGCAATGCAGTGCTGAGATGAGCTGTGCTGTGCTGTGCTGTGTACGTGCTGTGTGTCAATGTGCTGTGTGCTGAGCTGTGCTCTGCTCTGCTCTGCTCTGCTCTGCTCTGCTGCGCTGTGATGCGCTTGCTGTGCAGTGCTGAGCTGTGCTGTGCTGTGCAGTGCTGTGCTGTGCTGTGCAGCGCTGTGCTGCGCTGTGCTGTGCTGTGCTGCGCTGTGCTGCGCTGTGATGTGGTGTGTGAAAGGATAGGGAGGAGGAAGGTGGGGTGTGAGGGCCGCGGGTGCGACGAGGCAGGGAAGAAAACCAGAACCCCACTAAGAATGTTGGGAACTAAACAAAAACCCTGGGTCCACGCCCTTTCTGGGAAAACGAAGTCCCAGATCCAGATAAATATCCCTCCATCCCCCGCCTTCCTTTTAGCCAGTGTTCCTGCATATTGCTCCGTGCTGTCCTGTCACTGGATCAGTTTGACGCGAAACGTGCGCATTTTGCGCGAACCGGCTTTCGCAGGATTGGAAATTTCTAGGCGAGACATGATCGAGTCAGGGTGAACGGGCGTTGCTGGTTTTGCTTCGAGGCCGCCCTTGCCTATGATGGGCCAGTCGTCCACCAGCACCATGGTTAGGACGGGGGAGAAATGATGATGTGGAGGTCCTCTTCCTGTTCCTTTTCCTCCTCGTCATCCTCCTCCTCTTCCTCCTCCTCTTTTTCCCGGAAAGGGCGTAAGCCCAGGGTTCTCTTTCAGATGGTTTACCCCCGGGTTTGATTTGAGGTGGACCAGCTAATTTCTTTTGCGAAAAATATCGAGGTCGAGGTGGGCCGGCGAATTAAAATGTGAGGATGTCTCGAGCCAAACGCTTGTTGTTCTCAATTTGTTCAGGCTGTCTCGAGCGAAACGCTGGTTTTGCAGAGTTGGGGTATGCCTCGAGCGGGGCCTCTTGGGGGGCGAGAATTCAAGGGATGTCTCAGGCGAAACGCTTGTCGCGCGGTGCGTCCCCTGGCACGTTCCGTGGCACGTCCATTGGCACGTTCCGTAGCGCGTCCCCTCGGCACGTCCCGCGGTGCGTCCCCGTGGCACGTCCCTTGGCACGTCGCCTGGCGCGTCCCTTGGGACGTTCCGCGGCGCGTCCTCCTGGCGTTCCCCTGTCAATTCGCTCTGGGGCAGCTAATATGTGCTGAGGCAGCTCGAGCTTAAGATCCAGATCAGTTCGGTCAGGACTCGAATGCAAAGGAGGACTCGATCCACAACGCTATAAAGCACAATCGCGGCATGGCGCATCGTAGTTCAGCACGGCGCAGCACAGCACAGCCTTCGGCACGGTACATCAAGATCGATATTTTCACCATTGCAACTTGGCACGTTCCGTGGCGTGTCCCGTGGCGAGTCCCCCTGCACGTCGCGCGGCGCGTGCCCTGGCACGTCCCGTGGCACGTCCATTGGCACGTTTCGTAGCGCGTCCCCTTGGCACGTCCCGCGGTGCGTCCCCGTGACACGTCCCTTGGCACGTCGCCTGGCGCGTCCCTTGGGACGTTCCGCGGCGCGTCCTCCTGGCGTTCCCCTGTCAATTCGCTCTGGGGCAGCTACTCTGTGCTGAGGCGATCCAGATCAGTTCGGTCAGGACTCGGATGTAAAGGAGGACTCGATCCACAACGCTATAAAGCACAATCGCGGCATGGCACATCGCAAATTCAGCACGGCGCTGCACAGCACAGCCCTCGGCACTGTACATCAAGATCAATCCATTCAGCATTGCGTTTGCCCGTCGCCCAATCAGGTGTCTTTGAAACGTTGCCATGCCTTACATTTCTATATTCCTTTCCGGGTTCGTGGGTCGATCATGTGTTGTTCATCCTCCTCTTCTTTTTTATCCTCATCCTCCTCTTCTTCCTCGTCCTCCTCTTCCTCCTCTTCGTTTTCATCCTCGTCCTCATCCTCCTCCTCCTCCTCCTTGTCCCTATCTTACCTATGGTAGTGTTGGTGGAAACTTGGCCTATCAGCTTAGTTCGCCCGCAGAGGTGCAGAGACAAACGTGTTTCGAGCGTCGCGGTCTGGACATGATGGACGACTTTGTCCAGGGCGTCGTGCGACCATAGGCGACTCAGGTGATGCCCTGAATGCGAAGGCGTGTTTGAGCTGCGGTAGGCAATGCCCGCGCCGTTCGGCAGGCAGCTGACCTGCGCCTCCCTGTCCTTATGCTCCGCCTCCATCCCCACCGCCGGACGCTGCATCCAACAGCGCCAACGCCACGCGACAGGCACCTGGTTCATGCGAGACGGTGGGACATTCCCAAAACAAGGATGACGTCCTGGCCTCGAGAGCGGATCGGACCATGGCCGGGGCCGCTGCCCTCTGACTACAGATCGGACGAGGTCTCTTTGGCATCACAAGCCGCAGGTGACATTGGGATGCTCCTCGTCCATGGCCTTCAGCGACAGGGACTCTTGGGAGGTGCCCCCGCGCTCTTCGCGCTCGGCGCTCCCCACCTCTCCACAGGAGGAAAAATCAAGTACGCGAGCGACACGTTTCGAAGATCCGCGCGGATGTCTCGGATCTGCGCCAGATCCCCGTGGCGGCGCTTCTGGCGCCGACCTTGGCGCGCTCCGCGTGCCAGCGTGCTGTCGCTCGGACATGTGCAGTAGACCATCGGGGAGCATCCTGGATCGTCTTGCGAACCATAGGACGCACGCACGAAGTCGAAACGTGCCAGAGGGATGCACGTCCGAGCGACGGCGAGGGATCCCGCTCTTGTACCCGAGCTCTCTCGTGGCCCACGGCCTCGGCCGGACGCAGGACGAGGAGCGCATGAAGAAGGAGGAGGCCGCGAGGCGGCCGCTCCGCTGCAGGAGGGGGAGGAGGATGGACGAGGATGATGAACGAGGGAGAAAGGGGGGAATCAGGCGATCGCAAGCATGTATCAAGGGGCGAGGATTAGCGAGGGGTCCCGTCTCCATGGAAAATCGCGGATTTCCGCCGCCGAACGAGGCGGCACCGGCCGCAGTTTGGGGAGGGCACCTCCCCCGAACCGCGCGCCAAATCCACCCCGAGAGGGGGGAAGGGATGAAGGATTGGGCATCTCCCGGACGTGTGCATTCTTCCCCGGCGAGGCCCATCGAGGAACATTTTGGCTCATCGTCCAGGGGATGCCGAGGAGAGGGGCGCTTAGGGGAATGATGATGGTGATGATGACGACCATTAATATCAGGATGGTCAGCATGGAGAAGATGTTCATGATCATGCTGTTGATGTTGGATACTGATGGTGGCGGTCGTGGTCGTAGTCGTGGTCGTGGTTGTGATGGTGGTGGGTTTGTGGTAATGATGATAAGGAGAAGGAGGAGGAGGAGGAGGAGGAGGAAGAGGAAGATGAGGATGAGGAGGAGGAGGAGGATGGTCATGATGTTTGCTCGTAGGATGGCGATGATGAGGAGGAAGGTGCGGAGGACGAGGATAATCAGGCCGATGAGGAATGGCCCGATGTGTGGACGAGGAGGAGGGGCTCGATGAGTGCTGCGTCCTCCCACCCCCCCTCCGTCTTTCTTTGCCCCACCGATGGTATTCCGTGTTGAGCTTCCCCTGTGTGACAAGTGCGCAGGTCCCTTGCAAGATGCGGGAGAGGGGTTCTTGAGGGAAACCGTGGAGAGAGCAGGCATAACCAGAGCCTGAGGCGCTACCAGTGCTCCACCCTTCTGCAGCCTCTTTGGCACAAGAGTTATCATGGTAGCGGAGCTGGCCACGGCCAGCTCCCGCTGGGCCCCCCCCCCCGCGCGTAGGGGCGTTGGCTATAGTTTTCGCGGCCGCGGCCGCAGGACGAACTTTGACCCACTCCGACCAGCTGACACAACAGCTGGGCAAGGTCTGCGTGACCAAGCAGCTGGACAAGGTTTACGTGACCAAACAGCTGGACAAGGTCTACGTGACCACAGATGCGTTGAACGAGGTCCACGTGGCCACAGGAGTGCAAGACGAGGTCTACGTGACCACAGAGCAGAAGGACGAGGTTCACGTGACCACCGGGCAGAAGGACGAGGTTTATGTGACCACAGAGCTGAAAGACGAGGTCTACGTGACCACCGACGAGCAGTACGAGGTCTACGTGACCACACACACGCGCAGTACGAGGTCTACGCGACCACAGACGAGCAGGACGAGGTGTACGTTACCACAGACAGGGAGTACGATGTCTACGTGACCACAGAAAAGGAATACGAGGTCTACGTGACCACGGACAAGGAGTACGAGGTCTACGTGACCACATGCAAGCAGGACGGGGTCAATGTGACCATGACGGAGCCTGGTGCGGAGTGGCAGGGCATCGGGCCGAAACCACCAACGTTCGACGGCCAAGAGGAGACGTGGACGGAATGGACTTTCGTGATGAGGGCGTACTTGGGAGGTCAAATTTCGCAAGCGCTGAACCTCCTGGGGGCGGCTGAGCAGCGAGGAGATCCATGCATCAGCATGGCGGAGAGCTTGCGTCGTCTGGGAGCTGAAGGAGTTACGGCGACGGAGGAGATGTTCATCGCGCTGGCCATGACAGCGAAGGGCAGCGCGCAGATGCTGATCAGGAGCGTAGGGGATCAGAACGGAGCGCTGGCGTGGCGAGCGTTGATCAAACGTGCGAGCCTGCGACGGTGATGAGGGCGCAGAGTATCACGACGACGGTTCTCAATGTGAAGAACATGCCTTCGGACTTGGCGGGGCTCGAGCAGCGCCACTCAGACTGGGATCGCGACATCAGGCGCTACGAAGCGGCGTCGGGGCAGGCGTTCAATGCAGGAGTCAAGAAGAGCATCTGCCGACAGAAGGCGCCGACTAACATCAGGGCGGCCTGCAGACGCAGAGCGAGAGAGAAGTTATGACGAGCTGGTCGGCACCGCGACGCAGCACCTACAAGCGGCAACGGCGCGCGAGGATGGGCGCCCGCAGAAGTGGCGAAGCCCGCCAGGGCCTGGGGCAGAGGACAGCAAGGGAAACCTAACCTCAGGAGCCATGGGGGTGGACGCGCTGACACGACAGTATCCCAAAGGCAAGGGCAAATGCGGCGAAGGCAAAGGTGGAGACAACCTAGGCAAAAGCAGGAGCACATGCCAGAAGAGCAAGGGCGCGGAACCCATGGCGGGGGCGGCAGCAACACGGCAGCCAGCCTGGAATATGCCAGGGGCGCATGGGGCGAGGCTATGCTACGCGTGCGAACAGAGGGGGCGCCGCGCACGGGGCTGCCGGCGCCGACGGGGGAAACCCAACAACGACCAGGGCAAGCAGAGGGCAGAGAAAACGCAGACAAGGGGGGGCGGACGAGATCGCGATGCACGACGGCTGGAGCGACATCATCACACCACCA